CCCTACACTTAAGTCCTTTCCTCAGATTCTGAAGAGGAATGCTTTAGTGCTTCAACATGCATTTTATGTTGTCTTTTGGTATTAGCTACTAGTAATGTTGAAGATTAAGTACTGTGCAGCATTAAGTTAATTCAAAGAATTGCAGTACTTGATAGAATTCAAACATTGAAAAGGTGTTTGAAGGGAATAAAAAAAGTAATTAAAAGCTTGCAATAAGAAGTTCAAAAAGTTGTGTATCTGTTGTAGATTTGAAGGATGGTACTCTGTAAGACTATTGACTGTTATGTACAGTTCTTAGTTTTCCACTAACAAAATTCCCTGAATGCCTTCCATTCCTCAGAAACAATGAAAATCAGATTAGAGCTACAGCTGAATGCCCAGTATAGCTGTAGGCAGTACTTTTCTGGAAATATTTTCCAGAAAGTAGACAATGTATTAATGCTCTTGGAGTTGCTTCCTGGATGTGAGGAGGAGTTACGGTATGCTTGTTGTGTAAAACGTTGTTACACTCTACAAGTGCTCAAGGCATGAGAGTGCAAGGAAATTAAGCTGTGTGTGTGGGCTCCTGGTGGTGGTTTTCTTTTCAGCAATGAGCTGTGTCATGGTAGCCTCAGAAGATGGTTTCATATTTTGTAATTAAAGAACTCTCAAAATCCACCTAGGTCCACATAAACAATCTTTCAGTCTATATAATAATTATTCAGTCTCCCCATGATCAAGTCTGGTTCCTGTCTTTCTCTATTCACACCCATAACATGGGGGGGAGTGGGTGGGTGGGAGAGTGTTGTGTTTTGGGTGTTTTCAGTTATAATTAAAAGTTACTATTGCTTCAACCTTTTGAACATAGTTTTGTGTGTTTATATGCTTTGCTTAGCATCTGTTGTCCTCTCCTTTTTGCTGTTCAGGATCAATATGAACAGGAGGACTTTTTGATTAAGCCCAGTGACAATCTTGTCCTTTGTGGCAGGGCTGATAAAGACTACTGCAGTTTGGAGGTCCATGGTAAGTAACATAGGATTGCTTCCTTACAGTGAAGCTAGGGAATAGTTGATGTCCAGTGATGGGACAAGGAGCATAGGAGGTTCAACCTGAATATAAGGAAAACCTTTTTACTGTGAGGGTGACAGAGCACTGGACCAGGCTGCCCAGAGAGGTTGTGGAGTCTCCTTCTCTGGAGACATTCAAAACCTGCCTGGACATGATCCTGTGTGACCTGGTCTAGGTGATCCTGCTCTGGCAGGGGGGTTGGACTGAATGAGCTTTTTGAAGTCCCTTCCAATTCCTAATATTCTGTGATTCTGTAATGTGTCTTGGAATTTTTTTCCTTCCCATCTGCCCTGTGTGCTTTGTCCTCTTTCTTATATCATAGTGCTTCAGCCACTTTGCAGAACTAGGGTATTAATGTGGAATTATTGTTATTTAGAGAAGTGTGTCTTTATCAGGCTATATAGTGTTTCCTTTTTCTTATTTCATTCCTAATGATACTTAGAAAATACTATGGCATTTTTACTTTCTGAACATAGGATCTTTCTTCCAGACAGTCTTACTTTCTGTATTGTGCAAGCTTCCTCTAGTGGTTTGTTGTTGGGTTTTTTTTTTAACTTGCTGTCTCCTTGCTGCTTTAAATGTGCTTCCCACTGCTAGGAGTAGAAAAATCAGCCTCTTTATTGTCTTAGTTTTAGAGAGGATGATCCTTAATAACATCTGAATACCACTTGTTCTAGGGATGGGTTTAGTTTTACTGTGTAGTTAGTACCTGAACATCTGTCATGTGCACTTAAAAATGGCACAGTGATGTTGTGTGTGTGATAATACCATGTTAATAAAACTACTAAAGGATTTTATCTGCTATCCAGTTAGTAAATTCTTTTATTATAAGGAGAAAAATAGCTGCCTAAAGGGAATGCTGTGTTTAGCATATGGTTCCTTTACCAAAACTCTTCCTATATCTCAGTCACAACCTGCTAAAGGTAACTTCATCTGACTTCTTCAGCTTTCTTTGATTTGAAAAGTGTTTGTCTTTTGCCTTCATTTCCCCTTTGATAGTGTCTGGAATTATTAGGTTTTTTAAAAATTGCTGATTCTGTAAAATGAATATCTAAACCTTTGCTAATGTATCCTGATGTAGAAAGTAGCGGTGGTGGATACAGAGCATCTATTTTGAGGTGACCTTACAAAATAATGTTGTATGCTAGGAATAAAGTATCTAAGCTTTGCTGAACTTGTCACGTCTTTATCTAAAGCACACAGGAGAATGTTTGTTTGTTTTGTTTTGTTTAACTGTGAGACATAACGTTGGTACTTGGAGGCTCTGGCCTCTACACTAAAACTCTGACCACAGCGAATTTGCTTTGTAGATCTTGACATTTAAGTGTTGCCCACATCTGCCTTTTGCAGAACTGAACTGTTTATAGTTGCTTGCTTTTCCTTTTCACTGATGTCTGGTATATCTTTAATTCTTTTTCAGTTTATAATCATGAAGAGGACTCATTTTATGTACATCATGATATTATCTTGCCTGCTTACCCTCTAAGTCTGGAGTGGTTGAATTTTGATCCTAGTCCCAATGAATCACAAGGTAAGTTACAGAGGATACTGTAAATGTCCAGTTAAATAATTTTTACTTGTAACGTACATCAATGTAATGTTGTTACTAAAGAATTTCCTCCAGTGGTATGAACAGAAATAAAACCAAGATATTGAGATGGAAAAACTGATTATCAGTTTCTTTGGTTTGGTGTTACAGTCACCTTAGTGATGCTGCCATAACAAGCGATTTGACTAAAACACAGGTTTTATTACAAATAATGAAGCTCTTCTCTAATCTGATTTACTTTCCATTTGCAAATGAAAGGTTGGTTATGTTCAAACTGATTATAGCCAGTGCTGTTGATTAACTGTAAAACATAGCGAAATTTGTATATATTTATGTATTTAGTAACATTTTTCCTGTGTTTTATGGATTTTTTTTCCACAGCACAGGGAATGTGTTTTGGTTTTTTTCCTTAAAAAAAACCAAACAAAACATGTGGAACTTTATGCAGCTTCTTTGAACATTACTTCTAGTGAAGGGAAAGTGTATTGGAGAGCAAGTAAACTTATCTCTGGCAACATCTGCTGTCAGATGATATTTCTATATTGTTCCTTGTCAGTTATAATCGTCATGTTCAAATAGAAGATTCTGGCATGTAAGTTTTACTTAATCAAAGAAATAAGCAACATCTGGATTGCCAAATACGCTGCTTTGTAATTCTAAATAAATGTGGTTTCATTTGGGTTTCTGTTTGTAGGAAATTATGTTGCAGTGGGTAACATGACCCCAGTTATTGACATCTGGGACCTTGATATAGTGGAATCCTTAGAACCAGTCTTTTCTCTCGGAGGCAAGAAAGAGAAAAAGAAGAAAAAGAAAGGAAAGAAAGTAAGTATTGCAAAATGCTTTACCTGGTTGGATGGAGGAAACTTTCAGCAAGGATAATGTCGGTATTACTTTTTTTTCTACGCTGAATAAATCATAGATAACCTGGTTTAATTCTGTCTGTCATGTTGAAGGATGGTGTTAAGACAGGTTAGAGAAGATAATGTCATGATTGTCTGCAATAGGTTAAAGTTGGTATTTTCCTATGACTCAGAGTTGAAAAGGCATTGAGCAATGAAGGACAAGGTTGACACTGATAAAATACATTTACTTAGAATTCGCTGCTGTTAGCTTTATCTGTGTAAAATTTAAGCAGATTTCAAGCTAGTCATTGAGATTGTCTAAGGTGAATGCATAGAGACACACCCAGAGAATGGCTGAAGTTCTTTTGTGGACTGCAGAGAAAACCTTAACTACCCAAAAGAAAGAGTTGAGGTTTAGACTGGATGCTAAGTGATGCAAGATAAATCTGATGCTCACTGCATGCCTGAATGTGTTGTTATGATTTGTCCAAATATTTAGTATGTAAAACAAGTATGGAAGTTAACATAACTTAAATCTACATTTTGCTTATAGTAGTTACTTACAGTAGATGCTTCAGGAAGTGCTTAAAGACATAGAGTAGATAGGGAAGGTGAACACTGGGTGTACAGCAAATCTTGGTTTCCCAAATGAAGGAGCACTCCAGTTAGTCAGCTGAAGAACCACTCTGTATAATTGTGAAAGGGGTTTACTTCTTGAGCTCTCAGACCTTCTGGTTTTAAAAACAATAGAAAAAGTATCCTTGGAAGGGGAATTTGTTCTGTGAAACTTGCTTCTGAAAATCACTGAGTTGTCAGAATTGCTGTTGAAGTTACCATTCATAAGTGTTATCTCAATTAATAAGTAATAATGTGTTGTAATGCTCCATTTCCATTGAAGCTGTGATTTTCAAAAGTGTTGTATCTGCATACACAGAGTTTATCTTCAGAAGGGACAGCGAACGGACATACTGATGCCGTGCTTGATCTTTCATGGAACAAACAAAGCAGGTAAAAGAATACTTGAATAACAACAGGTAGCTGCAAATCTGTATACTTAATTAGGCGTACATTTTTCACACAAATCCAAAATCTTACGTAGTGTAACATTGAACTTGCAGTGCTGAAATGAATCAATTCTCAAAAATACAACTCCCCTTGAAAATAGAGCCCCCTACATTTTTTAACCAGAAGTCTTGATTTTTATTTTTTTTTTAAAAAAAACCTATGTATTGCTGCAGGTCACTTTTTTATTTACAAGTTGCCCAGATGAGGACAGGGCTAAGGTGAGTCTAAGCCGTTTGATAAATCGGCTACGTTTAAGTCAGATGCACAAATTGGAGAGCACAAGGGCTGCCCTGATCTGTGCCAATCTGCCAGTGACCTAAAACACCATTTCAACAGATAAAAGTATATTTATAGAAGGAAGTCTCTGCTGTGCTGGGGTTTTTTTTTCCTCTGGCTTCTGCCCTAGAGCTGTGAACAGAAAACAGAGTGTGAAAGCCCTAATAGCACAGTTACAGAAATGCCTCTGACCTTTGGGTTATCCTGGGCAGGGAGAATTCCTGTGAAGTGCTGCTATTGAAGCAACACAAAGCTGGCCCATCATGGGGGAGAGGTCCAAGACGGTGTGCTGACTGGCATAAAGATGCTGCTGGTATTTTATCACTTAGGTGGTTTTTAACAGTTTGGCTGTCAGAAGATCCTCAGCATGGGCCTTGAAACTGTTCCAGTCAGACACAGTCTTAAAGAGTTGCTTTCATGTACCTAGAAATGGTTTTCTGGTGATAATATAGAGACAAGTCACAAAAACTATGGTTACAACAGTTAAGTGCCTGGAATGCATAATTCTGTAATGTGCAGAGTTACAAACTCATTGATACTGGTCAATCTTTCAGGAAATAAAAACAACCTTGAAATGGGAAACTTAGGGCCGAAACAAGGACCTCCTTGGAGCAGCTTATATTTAAATGTGGTGGTGTTGGTGGGGTTTTTTTACACAAGATGTGCTGTGACAGCTCTCTATGAATAAGTTTATGCCTGTAGGTCATAATGGTGTTCCCATAGCCTTCACTGTGCATTTTCATAACTTGCCCTTGTAACATTGTTTGGGAGAACAGTGTTTCCAGGAGAATGTTGCCTCTCTCAGTCAGCAACACTTGGTGAATATATAAAAAAAAAAAAAGAAAATAAAAAGTTCTGGGGAGAGCATTCTCAATCAGAAACAGCATTTTGAGGTAATAGATCTCTTTTTAAGACCAATGGTAGCAATCGTACTGCATATTTGACTGGCCTTTGGGAATGCTTTTGAGTTTATTCTGATTAAACTTCTAAACTGTCTTTATTGCTCTTAACACAATTAGTCAAATTTAGGTTGAAATGTGGGGGTCTGTAAACCAACTGAAATGTTAGCGGTTCCTTTCAGCATTCTATGAAGGGCCTGCAGTGTTGGGACTTCAGCAGTTGCATAAACATTCAGATGATAGAGAGCAAAGTATCTTAAAAGCAGATTTGTCTGGCTCTTGGCTGTGTGCATATGCAAACAGAATGAAGTTGCATAGATAATGTTTAAAAATACTATCTTAATATCTAAAGAAGTGTTTAAAAGTCTTTCTTGATTAATTTTGTTCAAGAAATCCTCCAGTAAATGATACTTCTAAGTGGTGCTGGGGGGAAATACAAGCAAAACTGTCAAGTGTTGTACTAATGTAATGTAATATAATCTGTTTGTAGTCTTTCCTTGTACCTTAGACTTAACCTTCAGAGAGTTATCCCTCAGGCTTGAGATATATTGTCTGTAGACCAGAGAGTACTTGATCTCCGTATGTATTTTGGATTTTTGACCGTCATTTGTTTGTAGCTGGGTAAAGATTTTTAAAACTTATTTTTGATCCATTATCAGGAATGTTTTAGCAAGTGCGTCTGCTGACAATACTGTGATTCTATGGGATATGTCTGTGGGTAAGCCAGCAGCCAGCTTGACGCTACATACAGACAAGGTATGTAATCATTGCTATGTTTCTTCCACTGTAAAATACAGAGAAAATGATAACTGCAGTTTTTCATTAGCTGCTTGGTAGTGAACCATTACAGCAACAGTTCTGTCATTTTTTTAACAACTGTGCAGAATTATTTAAATTTCTGAATTAGTTGCTCTTGCAAACAACACTGTGTTTGCTTTTAGAACTGTTATTTAACTTATCCCTTACAAAGTTTGTGAAGATTTACAGGAGTTTTTAAAATACCTTTTATGTGAAAGCCCTGATAGTTGGGAATCTAATAGTGTTGGTATAAGCCACAAAAAACAGATCTCTGAGCATAGGTCAAACTGTAACTCTCTCTCTCTGAAGGCAACAATGAGTGTCGGTTACAGTTTGTTATAGGTAAGAAAGCTTTAAAATAAATGATACTAAAATACCTTATTATTGGAAAATATCTTGTTTCCACTGGGTGGGGATGTTTGAAATAAAAATAATATGCATTTCTTGCACTGTTTTATGAGAAAGCAGAGTAGCAACAAGCTTAATAGGAGGGTTTTTTTGGAGGAAATGTGCAGGTTTTGGGGAGGAGGGGTTATGCTCTGTTTATTCAAAGTTCCTGTATGTGTGTTACATCTCAATGCTTGCTTTTTAAAATAAAATCTTCCATTATCTAGGTCCAGACATTGCAATTTCATCCCTTTGAAACTCAGACCCTTATTTCAGGATCTTACGATAAGTATGTCAGGGTAATATTTTCAAATGTTACACGTAGGGAGGGTGTTGGTATTGAATCAAGCCCGTTAAGTTGCCTCACTGTTTTCTTTTTCATTTTCTTATAACTGTGCCAAGTTTGAGTAATGCCATTATTTCTTTCCAGCAGGGTAGCCAGGTTTGTATGTGGCCAGAATGTCATTTTCCTTACCTCTTTCTCAGGACTATCCAAATCCTTTAGCCATCTGGATGGACATTTTCTATGCCAGTTGTCTGCTCCAAGCTGAATTTATTTCTTAATTTGGCCTTATGGTGTTTTCTGCATTGGGAATGTGTCACTGCTTATCTCTGTGAAAATGTGTCCAGGTTTTCTCAAAGTGTAAGACCAGGGTGGGGACATCAGGGAGTTTAAAATCCCAGTCCGCTCCCTGCAGCCTCTGTTGATAGGCGTGCCGCAGCCAAAGGTTAATGCAGTCTCCTGCAGCTACGACCTGGAGGTGCTGTGAAATGGTTTGTGCCTGCACACACGGCCTGGCTCTGTAACTGCCAGATCTTAGAAGCCTTGCCAGCCAAAAAAAACTTCCCTTCTGTTCTCCTAGGAGTTACTTTAAAATTTTGTTCTATTATTTTCTTTTATCAGTTTTTTATTCTGCTTTTAAGACCGTGTCCTTCTGTTAAAATATTTATAGACTTGTCAATCTTTAGCTAAGCCTTTATGTTTTCTGGCTTCTGTTATGCTCTTGCTACATCTACTTAAGTATTGGAGAAAAACCTTTTCTTTAGGAATCTGCTTCTGTCTACTTTCCTCCTCCTCGACTTCCTTTGGTTAAAAGAAGAAAAAAGTCCAAATGCTGAGACCAGCTTCTCAGTCCCTTTTTAGCTACCCCTTTGATACCATGGGCACCTATAGACCAGTGTACTGTGTAAACTGGTAGACTGCCTTTTCCATGTAAAGCCTTGTAGGACCACAGGCTGTTCAATGCATATTGGCAGATGCCTTCATAACCTGAAAGTCAGACTGTTAAAAATTGCCTATGTACTAAAGCTGGTGTTGTAAAATGCCTGGTAAAAGAGCTGAGAAATCTAGATCGTGTTTCTTTGGCTTTAATTATAGGAAGGAGTGGGAGCAAGTTACACTGTGTGGATGTTGACTGCAGTGAGATGTTACAAGAGTGACGTTCTCACCCCCTCTTGCATTTACACCCAGGAGCTTTTTGGGTTGGGACGGATTCTGCTGCCATGGGGCTGGGCACAAACCTGTAAAGAATCCCAAAGGACCCACTAACTCCCATCCACTCTTTCTCCTTTCTGGAGTAGCATTTCCCTAAGCACTTGTAAAAATTATTTGTTGTTTGCTTTTACTGAAAACATTTGACAATGTTTGCATAGGTATCACAAATTGATTTCCTAATTAGTGCATTATTTATGAACAGTCATTACTTGACTTTACTGAAGTCTGTTCATAATTAAGTGATATATTTGGATAATGATAGGTATCTTATGTATTGAGTAAATTCAGGCTCTGCTTAGTTTCAATAGAATGGCTGTTTGTAACTAAAATGAAACATTGAAGCATATGGGAAAAGCTTGTGCTTATCTGAGAAATCTTCAGCAGTTGTTGAGTTGGAAGACTAAATACTGAAGTAATTTCCGTTTTAATTTTTGAGTTGTAGTTTACATGCACCTTCTGTAGATGCCAGTGGTAAAACAAACTTCATAAAGTGTTCTGCCCTGATTGTATTGATTTATTTAATTAATTTCCTGTCCCTTTTCCCATAGATCAGCTGTGCTGTATGATTGCAGAAACCCACAGGATAACCATCGGATATGGCGGTTTAGTGGTCAGGTTGAAAGAGTAACTTGGAATCATTTTTCACCTTGTAATTTCTTGGTGAGTACCTGCTCTCCTCTTCTTGGTCTGTTGACTGTTGCCATTTCATTTAACCTGTATTTTTGTATTCATAGTTTATCTGAATCATATAATGGAGCTGATGGACAGTTGGGCTGTTGGTGTTGCTTATTTTAAAAATGCAGTGTGTGGGAGGACGGTTTTAGGTATTTTTTTCAACAGGTATATCAAAGACCAGTGACTTCTTCGGTATCTTCATTATGGCAGTAGAAAAGCAAGTGATGCTGATACTTTTTCACTCCAGAGGTGGCATCTTTGCCATGTTGTTACAGTGTTCAGTGGCTGGGGTATATTTTCCTTTTACGTAGTTGCTGTGTTTTGTGTAATGAGGCAATTGCAGCTGAGAAGTAGCTGATTAGAACTAAGATCCTAAATATTAATTCAATATTTCAAGTCAGCACTAGAGGGCAATGTTCTCCTATCTGGTGTAGAGTAAAATTTCCTTGGCTTTGTCAAGATTTTTAGAATAGATTTTTAGAATAAAACTTACACAGAATTTAAACTCAAATCTTTTTAATTATCTGAATGCCTGTGTAGTTCTTTGTTGCTTTGTGTATACAGCCAGCAATAGCAGCTGCTCAGTTCTGTTGGGTTTGTGATGTAGATCTCCTTTGGTATAATCACAGCTAGCTTTGCACAGGGCTATTTTCTATCCGCTGGATGGCTCCAAAAGCTTTGAACTGACAGTTAAGAGACTGCAGGCTCTGTATTTCACTGCCTAGCACCAGAGACAAGCTTAGTTGTGCAGCCATCTTCAAAATACAATTTAAGAAATGTGTACAGGATTAAGACTTCCATGTAAGCCAGTGCATAGTGTAGGTCCATAGAATAGCTTGGGAACCAGCTGGATGGAGTCTGACTTTGGGGATGCAGACCTGTGTACACTGAAACATGCCCTATTGAGATGTAGTGCAAGTCTATCTCAAATCACAGGGCTTTACTAGAGGGCAGCTGTTATTTCACAGGAGGTTTTTTCCAAATGAGTGACTGGCTGTTTGTTTTTAAAATGTTGTGGTTTCCTTAGGCAAGCACAGAGGATGGCTTTGTGTACTGTCTGGATGCTCGTTCTGATAAGCCACTCTTCACTCTGAAAGCTCACGATGAAGAGGTGTCAGGTAAATTGTGTGTGTGTTGTGTTTGTCCCCAGTGGCAAAACTTATCTGGGAAATGTCTTTAACTGATATGACTGAGGTGGCAGTGATTCCTTGCTTAACAAATGTGAGCTGTGTGTAGCTGGCACGTCAAACAAATCTCTGCTGAGAAGCCATTGTAAGCCAAGTGTTTTAACAACAGTGGACTTTTCTCAGTGAATGCCATGAATAAGCATGTCAAAACAGATCTGTTCACTTGGGACACACTCTCCATGGGGTTTTTTTGGTGAGGAAGAACAAAAACTATGGAATCTGCTCCAGGATTGTGAACTATAATGTTTATCTCCTCTACCTGTAATTATTTGGTACTATGCTGGAGATGATTCAAGTATGGCACATGGAAAGGCTTTACACTGCCTCCTTTAGGCTACTTTAATATTTGATCAGTGTAGAAGGTTCTAAATAGCAACCTGAAGCACCTGATAAGGTCTAAAACCAGATCATATGATATGCCCTATCACCTTGGATAGCAGAGATGGTCTTTGGCAAATGAATGAACTACTTGGTGAAGCCAGATCATGTGAAGTGAGAAGCACAACAGTAACATCTCTGCACTGTTACTGTTGCTGGATTGAGAGACAGAACAGGCCTACCTGAAGTCAGTTTGCTCTCACTGCAGGGAGTGGTGGCAGCACGAAACTTTCATTACCTTTTTGCTCCTTTGTGCTGCAGCAGAGTTTAGTGTGAGGAGAATATTGGGTTTGTTCTCATGACATTGCTTCATAATGTATCCTCATCTCTGGGACATAGTGGTTACCTGGTGCTCTCACACTGCTGCACTCTCTCTCTTCCAGGGCTACAACTAAGCAGTCAGATCAAAGGGTGCCTTGTGACATCATCTGCTGACAAATTCGTGAAAATCTGGGATATCTTGGGAGACAGACCAAGTTTAATCCATTCCAGGGATATGAAAATGGTAGAGTAATATTCATTTCTTGATTCCAAGAAGGTTTATGTATAAACTATTTCTGCTTGTTCTTTTTTGTCTAGCTTGAATCTTCTTTTATCTAACGTAATCTCTTTTAGGAAAAAAAAAATCATCACATCTGTGTATTCTGGGTAAATCATTCTCATGACAGTGCAGTATTCAGTTCAACATGTAAATGGCAGACAACTTCAGAGCCTTAGACCTGAATACCAGACACGGTGTTCTTGAGTAGAATTAAAGGTATTCCAGTGTCTACCTGCCAGGTTCAACACAAAGATGTGATTTACTGTTTGCAATTGGCAGCTCTTGACTTTCTTTACAAAATAAATGTCAGGAAATTTAGAAAGCTTACATTTCTTAAAACTTGCTCTGTGAAAGTATTTTCAGATAACAAATTCATTTTAGGATGATATTTTTATCAAAAATCCTCCTTTTTCTTCCTCCCATCCTCCCAGGGTGTTCTCTTCTGTGCAGCGTGCTGCCCCGACTTCCCGTTTGTGTTTGCCTTTGGAGGAGAGCGGGAAGGGCTGCGTGTCTGGGACATAAGCAAGATTTCTGCAGGTAACGTTCTCATTTCTTTGAATCTTGTGGTTCTCCCGTTGACCCCAGGGTGTATTTGTATATTCAGTAATCTGTTGTGGCTCTGAGAGAAACTGTAGGTTAATATTTTTAAATACTCCAAGACTGCATATGTGTTCATGTTTTCAGCTTCAAAAGTGATATTTTTCTAACTTGGAGAACTGTTTTCTTGTAGCTGAAGTGTAATGCCTTATTTCTTATAGTATCTGTTTAACTTTTTTCTTAATGTTCCTGGTATAATCAAGTATCCCATCCTTGAGTACTTCTAGGAATAAAAGTGAGGACTGCTTTTGGTTGGTTGTTGTAGCTACATGTAACTAAATGGCGTGAATTTTTGGAGAAGGCTTTTAAGAGCTTGGTGAAAAACAGAGAGACTAAAACCAGAAGTAAATTGTTTAAACTTAATATTTTGCTCTGCAAAAACTCTTCCATTTTGCAGGACTTAGGTACAGGAATTATGCAAAGGGAAACATCTAGAGATTCTCCAGGGGAGAAATAACAGGACTGGTAATTCAAGTACCATATGCAGGAGATTGTCCTGACCTGTAAGCTTTGACTCCCTTGTTGGGTAAGGGGAAAAGCTTTGAAACTGGACCAGATTGGGGTTTCCATTCCATTCAGCCATGCTGGACCTGCTGTACTTCTCTTGTCTCTGGGGGAGTCACATGTAAGCAATCCCCTATCTTGTGTTGCAGTGAGTGAAGTTTTTGGCAACAGAGAGAGACTTGTTCTGGCGAGTGCCAGCTCTGTGGCTCGCAACTCCGTGGCCGGCAGCAGCAGCAGCAGCAGCAATGATTCGGAGACAGCAATGGAGTCGTGATGGATCGGAGTAATTAATGGGACTACGACTGATGGGTATTCTACAGATCCTCTGCTTGGTGAGAGTTCATAGAAATTATCTGGGTGTCTTGCAGTCTGCAAGCTGCTTTGATTCGGACAAAGAAACACGGTGATGTGGTAAAGCTCTGAATAAGCAGTTCTAAGTTCCTGCCTCTCTTACCAACTACGAAAGATTAAATCACTTGCTTTTCCCTGAGATTATGATCCCTGAAAGAGGGGCTACTGTGTGTAAAGTCGATATATAGAATGAAATAGTCACCAGAAAAGCATCCTACTGCTACCAAAAGTTTGTTGAATACTGCAAAGAAGGTAAACATCTTCTAAAGGCATAAGGAAAAATACTTCAGACAACAGTTGTATAATAAACAAAAGCTGAATGAAGCAGTAAGTGTAAATAGGTAATTTATCCTTATTTTAAGGCTAGATTTACTGATTTCTAATACAGATTTTTAAAGTTCTTATATGTAACTTTTTTAAGTCTTTAAGAGTATTTCTTGGGTAGGAAGTCAGTGTCCCTGAGTAGAATCTTGAAATCACCTCAGATCACCAAAATCAAACCAGAAATATCTCAGCTGTATCCCATCAAGATCAAGGGTCTCTTTTCCCTGGCTCGACAGCACCTGATGTTCATTGATGTTGCAGGTGTAGTGGGTTTTCCTTCAAGCTCCACATGTATGTGAAGAGAATTTGAGCTGAAATAAGGAGCTGCTGATGAGAGGCTGTCAGGATGCAAAGCGAGGGTAGGGATCTCAGCTGTCACTGGTGAAAGCTTTCCACATTACATACTCACGTTCTGACCTCCTCCCAGGCTTCCTGCCTGAAACTTGAAGGTACTGAGGAACATTTTGAGTGTCAGCCTCACCACTGACTTAAACACTTCATATATAGCATCAGGAACTTAGTCAATGTGACTCAATTTCCTCACAGTTAAAATGAACACCCAAGTGCCTTAACCCAGGCCAGAAGTTAAAGGATACTCTTACCCCCCACATAATGGGAGGTGTCTGTCAAGTGCTGCTGCTGCAGAAATGCCCTGGGTATTAAAACAACAGGTATCAAAGCAGCGGTGGTGTAAGTGCATGTAGCTGACAAGATCCTGCCACTGCTGCCCACCATCGCTCCCTGTGAGTCATTCTGGTGAGGTAAAGCAGATAAACTATCAGTACAAACTGCAGATGGAGAAAAGGCAGTGCTGTAGGTCTCCTTCCCATGCCTTGAAGTTGGCTGTTTCTAAATCCAATTCAGCTGTTTCTAGTCTGGTGGCAGGTGTTTAGCATGGCTCTGCAGGAACCAAGGATATTTTGGATGTGTTGGAATTCTTGCCTCAATCCTTTCTCTGCCAGGCAGTAGTGAACAATGGACAACAAATGGACTTTTGTGAAGCTTAAGAAGGTGAAAGCACCAGAACCACTCCTGTTCAACTGCTCTCCGCTGAAAAGCTGCAAGTTTTTCAAAGCTTTCATTTGAAATAAATGCTTTGCATTAAGTTGTTTGAGGGTAGTAATTTCTGTTATCTCTACCTCTGGTATTAATTGGTACTGTAGCTAGAAGTTGCTTTGCTTTAGGAAGAAATTGTGTTACTGCAAGCAACACAGCTCTTCCTTGACTAAGCAAAATCCCTCAACCTGTCTTTCTGGAGCTTTTTATGCACATACTGATCTCAGAGGGCAAGTGTTACGCAGTTGCAGGTCTGAAGACCCCAGGGAGCTCTCTAGGAAACAGCACATACAGGGAGAGAGGTACTGCTGAGCTTGCACCATTTAGGGCAAGAACTGGAGCCTCTCATCAGGGAACCTCCAATCACCTTGTTGGAGAACAGAGCTCAGCTGATTGCTCTTTTGCAGCACCACCAGAGGAGCCACACAGCAAATCTACAAGGTTTAAAGACTGGTTGGTTGCTGCAGCTGTGCAGGGAGGTGCTCCTACCCCTGCCTTGTTCCAGGAAAGCTTGGGAGAAGCAGATGATGAAAAAGTGGTGTTATTTCTTTTGGCATCATTATCAGAAGTAAGAACCCTTTTTTTTCAAAGCATGTAAATATTAAAAAAAGAACATTAGAAAAGAGCCACATTTTTATTCTTTTCAAAAGAAAACAACTGAATGAAATACATCTTCATTCCATAAATAGTATTAGCAGCAAACCCTCCCATCATTCCAGGTGGTAAAAGGTTACAGCACAAGAAGTAATATGTACTGCAGACACTGATCGTCCGTAAGCTTCTTCCTTACTGAGTATATACAGTCTCTCCCGCTTCACATGTTTCAGTGAACTATTCTTCAAAAGCCATGTGTGATGTTCTGTTCTGCAGTGGGGTAATTGCTTTGTCTGCAAATGCTGATTTCACTGGCTTGTCTTTTATTTTTTCCTAAAACGAAAGCTTTTTCTTTAAAGAAGGACACCTGAGCAGTGACAAGTCTTTGCTTTGTGCCAGACCACATCCTTCAGTTAAAAAATATTAAAAAGCAAAATACATCAACTGCCACCACCCTTTTTTGTTTGTTTTTCTTATTGTCATGGCTTTGGTGAATAAGGACAGTTGGCTTACAGGTCCCTGCAATCACTCAACTACATTTCTGGTTTGTGGCTCTTTACTCAAGGGGCTATGCAAGGTGTGTCACGTATCCCAGCACTGGATGGATTAATCTGAGTGATCTGGAAAAGAAGTATACACAGCATGTGTGAAATAAATCTTGCCTCCCTCTTAGCAACTCTTCGCTTGTACGTGCATGATCCATTCTCATTCAGTGTTTTGGCTACAGAGTTTAAGCAGTGGTAGTGCGGAGACCAAAACAGAAAGAAAACTTCTCATTTGACATACGGTGTTGACTGGAGAAACAAGGAAGAGGTTTGGTTTTTTTTCCTCCCCCAGTTTAAACATCCAAGAACATTTCCCTCTCACTTTTCTTCATTTGTGTCCAGAGAGGGCATTGCCTGTTGAATAGACTCCAGTGTTAATCCTGCAGTCCTCAGTCCTCATAGAGTCCATTAATTCCTCCTCTGAATCCTCCTCCTCTTCCTCCTCTGGGGCTGACAGGCTAGAGGTGGGGCCTTTACATATTTTTAAGTGGCGAGTGAGGTGATATTTGGTTAGATAAGCCTTGGAGCATTTTTCACAGACATAGTCTCTTTTTCCTTCATGTGAATTGAGATGCTTCTTCAGGTGATTTGTCCTCAGAAACAGTTTGTCACACTTGGGGCACTTGATCTGCCGTTCTCTGCAAAACATGAAGAAGTGAACAGTTTGCTCCTGCCTTAGGAGGTGGTGAAAGGAAGGGAGAAAGGGTCTGCCTTACTCCTAAATCTTGCTTTCAATACACTGGAAGGAGAAGCAGATCAGAAATAACAGCACTACTGCAGCACTACATTGAAATACTGCTCAGTTTTCTCTCACGCAGTATGTACACAAAACCCCTCTTCTCTGCTTCACCCCCCCAGCTTCATTGGCAGAAGTCTGGCTTTTTTTATTAACTGCCAGCTTGCAACCAACTGTTTTTCTTTCCTGATGATTTCTTTAAGACCAAACTCTGGTTAAGCTCCATGTTTTGGCAAGGGTGGAGATGTTGCCATGGTGGAAATGTTAGTCTCCCTCCTTCCCACCCTGCACAAATGGGAGGAAAAAAAAAAAAGAACAGAAAAAGAAAAAGAAAACAAAGCTGCTGACTGTTAACAACTCTCAGTCTGTAAATGCTAAGCAGAGGTTTACCAGACTGCAACAGTCAAATTCTGTAGATGACTGTGCAAAACATCACCCAGCAGTAGTGCTCCTGGCTCTGGCTGCAAGAACAAACAGCACAGCCTCTCTGTCTGCCTCTCTCTTGCTCATGCTTGCTGCACTGTGCTGTCTCCTAGGCAGCGTGACGGAAGTGGCAGTCGGTTCCAAGTGAGTACAAGAACCAGATGCTGAAAACAAAATAAGCAGAGGGATGAGCTTTGGGCAAGCAGCCTGTAAGGGAGGACTGTGGATTGGGAGTAACTAAACAGGATGGAAAGAGTCTCACAACAAAAGAAAAGATCTGGCCTGGCAGAGAGCTGAGGGGCTGGTAGAGACCTACAGCCAACTGGAGGAGGAGCACATGGGGGTGAGGACCTGACCTCACCATGGGCATCTCCCTGCAGGAGGGCAGGAGACCAAGTGCATGAGCAAGACCTAGGGGGAGATGACAGCTGGGAATGGCTGCACCCCACCCCCAGTGCAAACAGGGGGAAACTTCAATAATGAGCTAGTCAGTGAGAGTGGCATTGAGGAGTTCATGATTTTTTTGAGGTCATGTTGGGACATGGAAAGAGTTCTCAGCAGATAACTAAATGTAAATCCACTACCCCCCCCCCATCCCCATCCTTCAAAATGATGAACACTTCAGAATGCCATTTCACAAGATAAGGTGCACGCCTGGAAGCTACTGTGTCGTTAAAAGTCTGCCAACGCTAGAACAGGCCAACTTCTGCCAGTAACAAGGAATTTGTCCAGATGGACTTCTCTGACATTTTAGAGGATGAACCTGTACTCCCTAAGCCAAACTATTTGCAGACTGGAGAATCTCTCTTGGGCTGTTCAGTTCATTACTCACTGCAGTGGCCAGTCCAACACATGCTGTGAGATCACTTACTGTGTGTGTGTGAGCACGTGCTGCTTGAGGTCCTGCCTCCGCATGAAGAGCTTCTCACAGTAATCGCACTTCAGGTTCTTCTCCCCGGTGTGGATGACCATGTGCGATTCCAGGTGAGCCTTCTGGGTGAACGATTTGTCGCAGAGGGTACAGCGGTAATTCTTCTGACCTAGGATTACACGAGTACACCCACAGATGGACAGGCAGAGTGCCAAGAAATACAGTAAGCAGTAAGCCTGACCGCTGCTGAAAAATGAAATTTTACTCTGAAGAAAGGCAGATTCTTTGAGAGCAGAACCTGTTTCCTCTTGCAGTTCCTTCAGTCTCAGCATAAAGGTCTGCCTAGTCACAGTCCAGATTTAGCTATGCAAAAA